AGGATCTTCTTCAGCATCTTCAACTGGAGATCTTGATAAATAATCAGTCATTAAATTAATTGAACCAGGAATGTATTTCACCTTAAAATCATATTCTAAGATTTTTAATCTCCATCTTTCACATCGTTTATTAATTTGTGCTTTTTTATTTAATTGTGTTAATGCTTTGTGATCAGTTTCCCAACTAAATGTAATTCCACTTAAATAATTGTGCCATTTATCTAATGCACATATAAATGCATAACATTCTTGTTCCATAGGAGACCATTTGCGTTGTGCTTGTGTAAATTTCTTTGAAAGATATGCAATCGGTCTATCACCTTCTGGATAAATTTGTAATAGTACCGCACCGATTCCCTCATCAGATGCATCCGTTTGTACTTTAAAAGGGAATCTGTTATTTGGAAGTCGTAATACCAGATCAGTTGTAAGAAATTTTTTAAGTTGTTCGAAGGCTTTAATTTCTTCACTTGTTAATGTAATAATAGTTTTTTGTCCTTTCTTTTTTTGAGTTCGTGTAGTTGGAACAAATTTTCGAAGTGGTTCGGCGATTTGAGAAAAATTTGGTATGAATTTTCTATAATATTCAGCGGCTTTGACAAATTTACAAGCTTCATCTGCCGTTTGTGGTAATCTTGTATTTAGTAAACCATTAATGTTATGAGGACTTGGACGAATTTCACCATTTTTAATATTATGTCCAAGATAATCTGTTTGAGTTCGAGCTATTTCGCATTTTTCTGGATTAAGACGAAATCGAGCATTTTTTAATATTGTACAAATTTCATTGATATGTGATAAATGTTCTTCGAATGTTTTTGAATATATAATTACATCATCAATATAAGCTAATGCATATTTCCATCGTGTAGGACCTAATATATGATTAATAACACGTTGAAATGTTGCTGGACCATTTGTTATTCCTTGAGGAAGAACCGTAAATTGATAATGATTGTCTCGCGTGGAGAAAGCCGTTTTCGGTCGGTCCTCTTTAGATAGAGGAACCTGGAAATAGCCAGATTTGAAATCGAATTTTGTATAATATGTTGCATCGGATAATCGATCAAAAATTTCATCAATACGAGGTAATGGAAATGTATCTTTAATTGTAATAGCATTTAATCGTCGATAATCAATACAAAATCGCATAGTTTTGTCTTTTTTTTTAACAAGAACGATCGGTGATGACCATGATGAAGTTGATTCTTCAATTTGACCACGTTCTAATAATTTTTGTGTTTCTTGAAATTTAATTTCTTGATCTTTAGATGATGCTGGATATTGTTTTGAATAGATAGGTGGATGATCAGCAGTTTTAATTGCTGATTGCGGAGGAATATTAATAATTGATGGTGTAGGATCAAATAATATTTTATTTCGCCATAAAATATCTTGAATTTCTAATCGATGTTTTGGATTTTCTATATGTTTAGTCGATTCGAATATTTGTTTTCGAATCTGTTCGGAATAACATTCTGCTCGTAGATGTTTTTGTAAATCATTTCCAGATAAAAAATGTTCGTTGCAATGATGACAAATAATGTTTAATTTTTCTTGATTCGAGTTGTCCCTTTTACGTAAGACAGCTCTGGATTTTAATTTATTGTAATGTCGAGTTGATGTTTGATGACGTTCGTTTAAAATAGAATTATTTTTTGTTGGAATTTGTGTAGTTGCATATATTGTATATGTTGCATCACGGGAGATGGTTCCGATTCGTGTATTTTTTGATAATGTTTGTTGTCGATTTTGTGCATTTATAAGTAACACTTTGGCGTGATTTCCATTAATATTTAGTAGTGTATGTGGTATAAAAATAAATTTTGATATATGACGTTCGTATGGTTCAAATATAAGATTATTAGCATTAGTAACTTGACATGTAATATCAACTAATTGTTGTGAATATGGTGGAAGAGTAAGTTGTTGGACTAATAATGCCGGATAATTAATAGATGTGGGTTCCACGTATGGAATTGAAATTAATTGACCATATTGATCAGGAATAGTTAATTTTTTCTGGTCGCCATAAAGGTGAACATGATTCGAATTAATCCAATCATTACCTAAAAGAATTGATGTAATTAAATTTGTAGCAACATGAGCAGTAACATAAGTTTTGATAGATTTAATTTGTATTTCTAATTGTATTTGACCAATAATATTAAGGGATGTTGAATTTTCAGTTTGACATGAATGAGTTTGGTATAAAAATTTTTGGTGATGAATAGTTTTGAGAAAATTTGAATGAATAATGGAGATGGCGGATCCTGTATCAACAATTGCTTCCGTTGGCTGATTATTGATACGAATCTTGATGTAAACGGGAAATGATGTTATTGTTGATGGCTTTATAAATTTACTGGGAACACCGCCATCATGTGATCCAGTTATTGAAAATTTGGAGGTAGTTGTATCAGTGCGACAACACTGTAACAGATACTGATAAAATTCAGACGATTTTTCAAATTTGTGTCAGACATGTTGGAACAATTTTCGGATAGTCATCCAAAGCATTCGAAACGCTTCTCGACACTTCACAACAGTTTATTGTGAAATGGACGAGGGTCGTTAGTAGATGAAATTGATTCCCTACTGTAATCCAATTTCTTCAGACTCATTTTGACTGTCAAGAGTTGATTACCGTCAACATTACACATTTTAATGCATTCTACATCTTACTCCAAACGATTGAGCCATCCTGAATTTACCCATATTATTTAACCTTAGAAGGTCTACACATACAGTATGTCTTTAAGGAACAACTAAAACTTTTTCATCCATGTATTCAGTAGATCTGCGCTTCAATCTGAAGCTCTTTCATTTCTCTATCGAATGATATATGAACATGTAAAAAAAAAGGTTACTCTTTACTATCTCTCATTGTGAAGATCTAATCATTACTATATATTATTCATATATCAACATGGGATCTATCAAATGAGGCCAAA